GCACTCTACGATATGGTCTAATAATCGCAGAATCAATATAATGGATGGTGTATCTTACCGGGACACTGAAAAACTTTGAAGTGTACTCGTCAACCAATGCAAGTAAACACACCACATATGTGTTCTGATATTGCTCTATGTACACTGCAGGTCTGGCACATATTTGTTTTGTGCCGATTGTCGTACAAGGTAATATTGGGACTCACTCCAAGATCACTAAAGGACGTAGCCAATCAATTCATACAAGCATTCGTACTCGACCATGCTAAATAAACTCAATGTAGTGCTCTGAGAAATACATAATCAAATCACGACATGCTTTCCTACCTTGACCCCAACATAGGCCTCGGTAGTGTCGTTGACGATAGCTACAACACATCCCTTATCTTGAGGGGGTGGCGAATCCACAGATATACTGTAACGAGAGTATCGACAGAGTATCGTGAGCAAATGATGTATTAGAAGGTCCGATACGGATGAAATTGGGGTTGATTCCCTGTCTGATTATAGTAAAGGCACGAATTCTTGGAGACACGAGGTATGCATCAATCGCACATGTTTCATGCAAAACTTTGAACTAGTGGACGCAGGTATCTAGTATGGGCGTAACACGCGAATGATATACATCAAACTCTAGCAGTCGAATAGCAACACACACAGCAACTTCTTAGCGGTTGTATTCTGCTGTCGATGGTATAGTAGACAAGGTCACTAGCGGTACGGATAACAACCGGTCATACACATATGATACACCGGCAGTAGGAACGCGTTGTGCCGGACGTGGCCGTCCAGACAATTGACTTTGACACACACACACGCCAACGCCTACACAGAAAAAGAGTTAATTCGGGTTGCTGTATATGATATAAAAGTTCTCCAAACTCATACATCGCCGGAATCAACAAAACATACATCCTATGCTACAGAAATGTACACTATTAGAGACAATGGACGTCAACGTGTCGTGTCTGACGTGCGCTTTGTGCGGAGAGTTTATCTAATAGTCTTCACTGTAAACAACGCAGGAGGATATAGAGAAATGAACTAGCTCTCCAGACAACCTGCCCATGCTGAATACAGAAGGGAGCGGACGGTAGAGGCGTAGCAAGTGAGAATACAAGTGCATGCACACGGTAACATACAGCTCGAGTGCTATATATGATGCTGGTGGGTTAGGGTTTGAGATTTAGTATGAGAAGGTGCACCGAAGCAACTATACCCAATTTACAGGCACATAAGCCAAGGCACACTCAACGCAACAAGTGGACACGACGACACACAGACAGTTGGTTCGTACAGGCACGAGAACAACCGCGACATAGAAGCCATACAAACAGTGCACTGAGCGACTAGGATGCGCATAGACACACACCTGATGGTGGTTGCTAGGGTGAGTGTCTGGATGGCTCTGATGTACTTGTCCATAAGCTGTCGAATGGCCTCCGATTTGACATTGATTATCACTGCGCAATTGGGTGTATGTTTGTTAACCAAAGGTCAGTAATTGTGTGTATGTTTGTAGACCAAATGTTAGTAATTGGGTGTATGTTTATGGACCTAATGTTCGTATTCGGGTGTATGGTTGTAGACCAAATGTTAGTAATTGGGTGCATGTTTATGGACCTAATATTAGTAATTGGGTGTAACCAAATGTTAGTTAGCTCAGAATAAGGGCGTGTTCCTAAGCATGGTAACTGTATAATATGCGTGAAGTCGCGTATGACACTCCAGGTGAGGTGGATAGTCATATACAGCACATATTGTACTCGAGAACGGCAGAAGGGTAGGAGGTACGATAAGTACCGAGACGGAACCCAGGAGTGTTCGAGAGTGGCTGCAAAGCGTTAAATGATGCGTAAGTGAAGTCTACTAAGGCCCCTTCATGTTGAAGTAGTAGTAGAACAAAGCCTGGATACTACACAGACAAGGTTAGTCACGCCCCATGTGCATACTGGCTGGACACCTGGATACTTGTCCGAAGAACATGCGCAAACGCACGAACCGCGTATGCAGATCTTCTATTCCAATCAAACGCAACAGCACACACTTGCACACATGAGATACACAACCGGAATGTAGAGACAGACAAATTACAGGTTGCACACGCGACTACCTCACAGGACACACGCACAGATTGTCGGGCAGACCCCTGAGGTGCACATATACCTCTAGCGTTTAGGGGTTTAGGGGATATATACTTCTGAACAAAGCGTGTAAACATTGTGCAGCAAGGCGTGACTGTCGCTTTGTAGCAGTCACGCAACAGCCAAGAGCTTGATAACCAAGCATAAAGGGCTCGAAAGACCAATACAGCCCTTATACACAGGCGAATGAGTGTACTATGGATGCCTTCGTCATGCTTTTACGGAACATTTTCCAAACTGAGTGCAACTTATTTTACGCTGTTCAGAACTTTATACCCCCACGCAGCATAGAGGCGAATGCAGCAAGCGAGAGCGCGGGGTGGATACAAGCCGCACAGGTACAAGTGAATATACAACTTCATACCAAGCCCACCCGAACACACCTCAGCGCAACCAAGCATACGCCGCACGGCGAGGCCTGAAACACCATACGTACATACACACATACATAAACATACATACACAGGCATGTAAGTGCACATACATACACAGGCATGCATGTGCACATACATACACAGACATGCATGTGCACATACATACACAGACATGCATGTGAGAATACATACACAGACATGCAAGTGCACATACACACCTTCGGGCTTTGCCTTGTCGTTCAGGTACTCGGCCTTTAGAGAGCGCACATTCCTAACCACCTCGAATGCGGTGGCCCACTCTTGCTCCGCCTGTTCGTTGACGTAGAGAGCCTCTTCAGGGTATTCTGCTACCATGATACTTCGGTGCCCCTCGCTCTGATTGGGTGTAGGTAAATGAGGCATCCAGGTGTCGGTTGTACTGTTAGCGACTGGGCTTCAGGGTGACGGTGGACTGTTTGTGTCTCCAGATATTGGCTTGTGTATACAAGGTCTTAGTATCTATAAGTACAAGGTACTTGAAGGAAAGCGTTCTTTCGGGTCATCCAGCGATCATGAATTTGTTAGGTGTACCAAAACACGTGGCACACACACACACACAACAAACACACATACCCCTGCACGCCTGGGTAAGCGTTGGTACAGTTCCTCAGTCAAGAAGCACATGATGGGGTGCAGTAGTCTGAGCCCCACATCCAGGCATGTGTAGAACACTTCGCGGCAGATGGCAATGCGTTCCTGTTTTAGGGTTTAGGGACAGAGTTCAGGGTTTTGGGTTTGACGGCGGTTCTGCAGTCAAGGTGCGAGTTGTAAGTACGTACTACTTGGGATATTCGGATACTCAATGATCACATACCGGTAGAACGCCGCCCTACTGATTCTCTTACTAACCAAGTAGAATATATATGGATAGAACCAAGTTTCCTATGAAGAAGTCAGTTTGGTATGTGGAAACGTCGACTGAGCACGGACATTGTCGCAAGATGCTGAATTTGGTACAAGACCACTTGCTACGCCTATTGGGGTGTGCAAGTATGTGCGTGTGACGTTGCTGACGAGCTAAACCTTGCCAACACGCGTCACTGATTCTCTATTGTCCCAGGTATATGTGTGCATTTCAACACAGTTGCATACCTGATCAGAATAAAACAGGATAGTCCTAAAGTACTTTATATATATTATATATATATACACATATATTATATATATATACACATATACACATACATACATACATACATAAATACATACACACACACACATATATATATACATACATATATATACATACACACACATATATATATACATATATATACAATAAAACCTGATCAGTGCCGTTCATGGTACAATTGGGGCATTTAAGACCAACACCAAACGACTCTACCCCATTGCAAGGGACTGGCCTCTGTAATACACTCCCTTCCACACACACCTGATCGGTGCCGTTCATGATACTCTTGGAGCATTCCAGGTACACATCACAGAACTCGTACTGCCAGAACCCGGAGATAGCCTGTGTGGCTGCGGGGAAGGCATACGCCTCAAACGACTCATTCATAGTCTTCACACAATGCGACAGACGCGATAGAATCCACACGTCCATGGGTCCATAGCTGTACAGGCACATTGGGAGGGGGCTTATTTTAATTTGGTAGGGGGCTTATTGAGGGTACATATACACATACTTGCACCTACATATACATATACCTATATATATATATAATATTATATACATTCACATTCACAGACACACCTAAATATATACATATATATAATAATAATTAATATAATAATATGAATACATATACTATATATATAAACAAATACATACATACATACATACATACATAAATGTGTTTATATAAAGATGCAATCGTGACTATTCAGAACATACGCATCGGTTGGTGCCTGTTCTCTGGGTTTGGGCACAAAATCGTCGCCCAGAAGTGTACGCGCGTATCGCAGCGCATTCCAGAGCTTATTACAGAAAAAGCGGTAGCCTACCACACGCTGGATGTCCAGATTAACATCCTGTGGGGGTATATGAAGCATATGTGAGCACACTTTGTACATATGCGCGTGTAAGTGTGTATAATGGATACCTATGTGGATGTAGTAGGATGTAGTACATACACACGTGGAGTGTACGGACGTTATGAAGCATATATGAGCACACTTTGTACATATGCGCGTGTAAGTGTGTGTGATGGATACATATGTGAATGTAGTAGGATGTAGTACATACACACGTAGAGTGTATGGGAGTTATGAAGCATAGATGAGTACACCTGTACATATGCGCGTGTAAGTGTGTGTGATGGATACATATATGGATGTAGGAGGATGTAGTACATACACACGTGGAGTGTACGGACGTTATGAAGCATGTATGAGTACACCTGTACATATGTGCGTGCAAGTGTGTGTGATGGATACAAATGTGGATATAGTAGGATGTAGTACATACACACGTGGAGTGTATGGGAGGTGCACTGAGACTGTACGATATAGTGTGCGCAAGTGCTGTGGCGGTTGGGTGGCTCTGTGCAGTCTGTGCGGAGGAGATAACGACATGTGGCGATGTCTACACATTGACAGATTCCGGTCATCTATCTATGCGTATAAACCAGCCTTGAAAACGTACACGAACACACAAAATACACGCACACACACACACAGAATGTAAACGTATATACTAGTATTGAAACGAATACGAACACACTAGATACACCCACACCCACAAATATAAACATATATACTAACATTGAAATGTATACGAACACGCTAAACACATTCACACTCACACCCACAAAAGTAAACATATATACTAACATTGAAAGGAAAACATACTAATATATACATAGGAAAGCATATACACAAACACTGATTACATCCAACACAGATAGAAAGCATATGCATACGCACAGAAAAATGAACAACCCCCCACAAACCACATCCTTATTGCCCGCCCACCCCCACCCACGCACATAACACGCTCTCTCACTCACCCACACAACACACACCTACCTTTCCTGGTAGTGTGTAAGACGCAAGCGCCATGCGTAGTGCATCTGTGCCACACTCGGGGATACCGTCGGGAAAGTCTTTGGACTGGCCTTCGGTGGCTTTCTGCACTTCTTTGGGGTCCAGATTGCCGTTAGCGAGTTTGTCGTTCATTGCCTTGAGCGTGATGCCGTGGATAACGTCTAGTGGATCCAGCTGTGGGGCATCGAGCGGAAAGCATATACGCTTACTATCGACAGACACGTGCATTGGTGTGGGTGTACCTATCGAAACTCCCGGTAGGTAAAAGAGATACATAGCTCTCATACAACTTGATAGTAATTTCATATCATATTATATCGCGGACAACGCCTAGGGGCACCCACAGAATAGCATCGCGCAAGAGAGGGAGACGTATCCACATATATGACTTGTGTACACGTATACGTTCTTCCTATAAGCGTTTATCTACCGTGTTTACAAATACGTTCTTCCTATAGGCGTATATCTACCGTGTACACGTATACGTTCTTCCTATAAACGTTTATCTACCGTGTTTACGTATACATTCTTTCTATAAGCGTTTATTCACCGGGGCTTCAGGAATAGTTAGGAACACACAACTCCGACTTCCTTCAACGTGATATCGCGATTCACAACTACACTATCGATAACATACACCAAAGTACGGCTTCAAATATACGTTAGCAACTACCAACGCATTTAAATAGTTCGGTACAATCACAGGTAGTATATGCAGTGTACGTGCATGCGTGTATAAGACAGACGACCCTGGCAACACAGAAAACAATGTACGTAAACTCCAAGACATACCTACATACCTCAGTAATACACCCTTTCCATAGACACATCAACACACTACCACGCTCTAGTGAATAAGACGAGGCGAATGACTGAACCAACCAACCAACCAACTATCACGTCCTCCCACACCGCCACAGGCCGTGGCTACTCACCACATTGCCCAGGCTCTTGCTCATTTTCCTGCCGTGTGCATCTCTGATGAGGGCATGTAGGTACACATCACTGAACGGCAACACATCGTTGAGCTCCAAGGACAGCATCACCATTCGAGCCACCCAGAAGAACAGGATATCGTGCCCGGTTTCGAGAAGTGTTCCTGTGTGGTTGTAGAAGGATTGTATTGGATTAAATTGGGAGTGAGTGAGTGAGTAAGTGGGTGAGTGAGTGGATTCGCATGGGCCTGTGACTATTACAGTGTTTCGGATAGGCAGTGTGCGCTGTGGTACTCGCTACTGTTTGTTTACTGCGCCGAATGAAGATTTAAACTCATTCTGAGTACATATACAATCCTTATAATGATAGTCACGTATAATTTCTGGATACATATACATATATATACACGAGTGTATGTATTTATAGATGTGCAATTTAGAGTTAGGCGCAGATAGAATATATAAATAAATTCAGTCCGCATTTATGATCAATGCAGCACAAAAGGGAAGTAAAACCAATTCTGAAACTTCTGATAAATTAAAGAGCACAATCCAATACTTTGCCAGATACCAACAATAACAAAAGCCACAAGAGCATATATATATATATATATTGTGAGTAGCTAATTTAGTTTACGAACGGTTTAGAGTGAAACAACGTTTATACTTTATAGGATCAAAGTAGTGTAATAGCTTATAAGGCTGTGAGGACTGGCCATCCCACAATCTTAACCTATATACTCTAAAGCTAGATATTGCTTGCTGTCAGACCCTCTGGTCACTGACGCAACATCCCCTTTCTCGCCGTACATCATTCCATACTATTACACTACACTGTTAAATGTTTTATGCTCTTCTTTTATTGGTCTACGCTTACCAAATCAGCTGTCGACATAAACCAATATCAATAAGACAACAACATTTCTTCATTCCTTTATCACTCTAAAAAAATCACCCCTCATACATCCGAACCATCAAGCATGCATCAGACACAATTCAGTTCTGCACACGAGCCTTCAAGCTCACTACTATCCGTGGACCACACCCATATTACAATATATATATATATACACATATACATACATCAATACTTGAATATTTTCGAACAACCTAACCCATATATCACACTACCATCTTAATACAAACATATACTCCACATCTACACACACACATCCACATGTACCACACATATGCTCAACACACCAGGGTAGAATCGGGCCAGGTCAGCCGTCTTCTCAGGCCACCCAAAGATGGAGAAGGGGAACAGTCCACTGGAGAACCAGGTGTCCAAGACATCAGGGTCTTGGTGCAGTGTGATATCACCAGCGCTTACGCCAAACTTAGCAACGGCACGCTTGAGCGCCTCCTCCTCGGAGCGTCCAACCACCCAGCATTCACTGTAGGTAGATGGGAGTATACGCAGATGTTAGTCAGTGGTACACCAAGGGGTTAGGGAGTGATAGAGGCAAATGATAGTCAGTGGTGTATACAGGTGTTAGAGAGAGATATATGTGCAATCGCAATGTATGCAACACATACATATCCACACAGCGACAGACGCCGCGTTATACACAGACAGACTTATATATATATATATAGATATATATATATATGTGTCATACAAGCACAGATACACAGGCGCGTGTTGTTCATTCTTCAATGCCATGGACTTCGCTTAAACATACATCGATACAATATGCTACACAGACACAGATAATTATTTTTAGAATAGATATGACTGTACTGTGATATATAATATGCATACCTCTGCCAAACGTACGTTAATGAGTTTCGTACCTCTCGGTAGTATCACATTCTTTGCCCTTGGCATCGCAGAAGTGTGCATGAATACAATACGCACATGCGCACAGATATATATATATTTATACATACATACTTACACACACATATATATATAGAACAATAACATGAATCATATATAAAAACAAAGTCAACAAATAGCCACAGAAAAACATCCGAGCACGAGTTCCTTACCTGTCGGCAGCATCAGACTGCTTGCCTTTGACTTCGCAGTAGTACGCAGGAATGCGATGGCCCCACCACAGCTGACGAGACACACACCACGGGCGATCATTACCCAGCCAGTGATACCACTGAGAGCGGACGGGGAGAGATGTTGTAAGAAAGTGAGATAGACTGGCATATAAATCTCAAGGTATATATATATATATATATATAGACGGTATACTGTGTCGTTTAATGGTTTTAATAGGGTTTTAGGGCTCAGCACGACCCCTCGAAGTCACACCAGTGGTACTACTGGTTACATGCAACTGGCACTTGACCACTGACACCCAATCGAAGATGATGTTTTTCAAACCTCCCACCCATCCGCAAAGCTCTAAACACATGCCTGGACACACACACACACACACACACACACATATATATAACAGATGCATAGGAAAACAGCTACATATGTGTATGTCCTATTGGGGTTTCGTACTGGTTTCCTGTGCTGATGTGGTAGCAGTTTGAGGTCGCCCTGCGGTCGCTCCAGGGCTCTACTCGTGTGAAATCAGATACAACACACGTATACACGCACACAGATAGTATAGACCTAGGTAAGTATGTATATGTCTCTGCACTTGGGGGTTGCATATCGGTTTCTCGAGTTGATCTGGTAACCAGTCTGAAGACGATTCAGGGCTCTTTCAGTACAAATCCAGATACACTACACGCATACGATACGAGTACACAGATAACACATAACTAGGTGGGTAGCAACACACATATCTTATCTGTGTACTTACGACTACTTACCGTTCCTCTATACATATGCCTGCCTACCGATTACTCGTGTTGTTATCCGATACTTATGACTACCTACCCTTTCCTCGTGCTGTTATCTGTGCACTTACGACTACCTACCGTTTTCTCGTGCTGATCTGGGACCAGTCTAAGGTCTCCGTTCTGCACGGCGTCCAGTGCTCGCTTGTTCATTGAGGTGCAGTCGACGAACCACTGTGGCTTAACCATAGGCTCAACTATGTCCTTAGTACGACTGTCAGTACCGGACAGAGGGGTGGGATATATTAGCATTTCAGTACGTAAAAGGAATGGACATTCAGGTGATAATTTATATATATATTTACACATACAGTATATGCACGGATAATCTGTCATAATATACTGAAAAACTTGATACAGGCGCACAGTTCGTTGTACTCGCAGGTCGACTGCAGCCTTCTCCGAGAAAACAACCGTCGTGATACGGTATGTCTGAATGTATTATGTTTCCGGTCCGATTACAGAAGGTGGGGTGTGCGTTAAAACGCATTCCTTACATCCTTGGTGGTAGCTTTTAGATAGTTCTCTACGTATAACCGGGAAAGTCACATAGACTGAAATACTTGCCCAGGCGACAGAATCCGGGAAAACGTTACAAACGTATATACCTGCAAATGGGGATGACCATTGCGTTGGGCGTCTTGCCACGGAAAAGACCCTTTGCCTCCAAAGCAGCCAGGACCGCATCACGAGCATCAAAACGTTTCATACCCTGTGTTTGTTCATGAGGAAAAGTAGGGTTTAGAGAACCCTAAAACCTAACCCATACAAATGGATATGTGTGCATGTAATTCTCTGAAGCTAGAACATCTGCATTTACATAAATGCAAAGTTAAATAAGGTATTTTTCTAATAAGTGCTCTTCGTAATATGCGTATTGCTTGCTTGAATGTATGTATCCATACAGGATCGGTGTGACAATCCACACGGCCTTGAATAGACAGCTAGAGTACACGACAAACGTATAGACTAATTATACTAGCCATTATGTACAACTTTATGTATTCTCAGACACGCGTCTACGACCAAACTTAACTAAGGAGGGGGTGAAACAAAGCATGAATGCCCCTCACCTCCGGAGGCAGTATGGGTATCGTGGGCTATGCTACAAGAAGGCAGGCACCCTAACCAAGGGGTTATCTAAGGTGGATACAGAGGATAACAAACCACACATATCCTTCTAAATGAAGATATAGTCTGATACTTCTATATGAAATTATAGTCTTTCACTTCTATATGAAATTATAGTCATTCACTTCTATATGAAATTATAGTCATTCACTTCTATATGAAATTATAGTCATTCACTTCTATACAAGAATATACGACCGCACAACTTTCGATATGAAAGTACAGAATAGAGACTAACAGTATAGGCAGCTCAACAACCATCGGAATACCACGATGCAACAACCCTGATTACTCAACATCGGGGTCGTACACAACACCACATCCATCACACGCATTTTCTGCATTCCAGGCTACTCCGGTATGCTCCCTGGAGCACATACCTCGAATTCCTTAACGAGGCCATTGACAGTACCATCGTCGTTCAGCATGTTCAGAATGGGCAGGTCGTGGCGCTTGCCCATGTCGTAATCGTTGGGGTCGTGCCCCGGAGTGATTTTAACAGCGCCTGTCAGTTTGCAGTTGGGGATGGGCGGGCAAATGTCGGACGATGGACGTGAGTCACATGTCTTAATAGATTCAATCTGGCCATACAGGTGCACTAGGGAGATGTGTGGCTGTCGGGGTATTGTGTGCGTGTATGTGCTTTTAGATATAGCTAGCAATAATGTGTACATATGTATACTATAATAACATGGATATGTACATAGTTAGCAATGTGTGCATATGTATACTATAATAAAATGGATACGTATAAAGCTAGCAATAATGTGTACATATATATACTATAATAACCTGGATATGTACATAGCTAGCAATGTGTACATATGTATACTATAATAAAATGAATATGTATATAGCTAGCAATAATGTGTACATATGTATACTATAGTATTATGGATATGTATATAGCTAACAATAATGTGTACATATGTATACTATAGTAACATGGATATGTAGATAGCTAACAATAATATGTACATATGTATACTATAGTAACTTGGAAATGTATATAGCTAGCAATGATGTGTACATATGTATATACTATAGTAAAATGAATATGTATATAGCGAACAATAATGTGTACATATGTATACTATAGTAACATGGATATGTAGATAGCTAACAATAATATGTACATATGTATACTATAGTAACTTGGAAATGTATATAACTAGCAATAATGTATACATATGTATACTACAATGAAATGGATATGCATATAGCTAGCAATAATGTGTGCATATGTATACTATATCGTCTGCATTTTGCATGCATGCTATCCGTGACTCTCCGTCACACGCACGCCTCTAACTCTCTCCTTCAGTCCGCGTGTGTTGCCCACGCTGTGGTCACAAACGAGTGTGCATGCAACATTTACATGTGTGCGTGCGTGTGTGTGTGTGCGTGTTCGTATGTGCGACTCCAAGACACGCACATCGCAGGTACGGTCCAAAGTATATGCCGTGTATGATTGATTGTTGCAGTGGAGGCTGATATTCATACATAGCATCGTCTGCTGTGATCAGTGCAGTAGTAGAACTCTGTGTACCAGAGTACAATGAGGTCGTGTGTAAGTTGGGAAGAGGCGGGGACTGTACTTGTCGGATCACCGGCGGCCCTGCCCTCGTAGGGAAGTACAGGGACAGACTAAAACCCTAAACCGGGACAGAATAAACCCTAAACCCCTGATACGGGGGAAGAGCCCCCCACCCCATTCTCTGTGGTCTCCAAGTGTGACGGAGGACAACGCTTTGCTATGCGTATGACTACGCCAACTGCCCATACGCACTGGAGCCCAATGTACGAGCGAGTGAGGATATGACATACAGTACAACGACGATCGCAAAGGAATGACGTTAGATGCCGAGGTCCACCTATACAGCAGATGTTTAACACCCCAGAGATGGCTTCGCTAACTCTCCCGAGAAACAACCAATAAACGCTAACCTTATTGTTTTGACTCAAAGGGATGTATCATACGCACATAAACACCACAAACACCCGTACTCTACCCTACAAACCCTTACGCACACATACGCGTAGCACCCCAGAGATGCCTTCTCTCATGGTCTGCCGAAATATATACCGATACACTATAACCTAATTACAGTATACTTTGCTCAAATAAATGCATTACAAATATGTATGAACACAAAAACACACCGCCACCATACACACCTGAACCAAACCCGATTTCGACGTAGGTATCTGTGATAATCGGGATTTTGCGTCCCGAAAACGGGTGAATCAGGTGCTTTCCGTGGGCGTGGGCGTATTTGGGATCCTCGGGATGAACCGCCACAGCTGTGTCAGCCAACATAGTCTCCAAACGGGTGGTAGCCACAACTATCTCTCCGTCCTCTGTAGTGTGCGTTAACATGCCATAGATCCATCAGCGTGTGCTTCAAATTGATAATATATATATATATGTATATATATAATATGTATGTGTACGTGCGTTTATCTGCATGCATTCGAAGTTGTATTTTTATGACCGTGTGTATGCATGAACATCGTTCCTCGAGACGTGCCGCCACAGCTGTGACAGTCAACATGATCTTCAAACGCGTGGTGGCCACGAGTATCGCTGCATTCCTTGCAGCAAGCGTATACATGCGGGAGACGCTTGATGTGAATATGAAGCTGCCAGAACTTAGACAGTGTTTGGATGAGTGTGTATATTAGCACACACATAGATACGTATGATTGCGGGCTAGCCAACACAGGAATGCTCTCCTTCGGCGTGTACCATATTGCACGTGTCAGTATATATATATATATATATACATACATACATGTATAAGAAGCATAGATAGACTCGCATTAAAGCCAGTTTAAAAGATACCTGGGTTCTCAAACTGATACGCGAACGAGGTAAGGACTCCAAACTCGTACTCTTTGTCCCCGTGTCCAACAACGGTCATCATGGTACGCCCAGTGAGTTCTTTGTGATCGACCTGTGAGTCATAGAGGTCAATTAAAGAGGTCACGAGATTTAATAACTTCGCTGATGATATATGTATAGGAACAGAATCGCAGTGGGTTCTATTTCTTCTCGCACATACTCTTCCACGTTTGACAGATGCGGGGTTTTCTGCCCCTGAGCATGGGAATGGCACCAGTAGCAAACGTACATTTTTTAAGAAATGAAGTCACTACAGGGTAGTGTTAGATACATACACCCCTCCCCCCACACACACGTACACCCATATATATTCACTACAGCGTAGTTTTGGTACAAATACACTTGATACAAACTCCAGCCCAAACGCCCACACACCTCCAAGTCCGAAATAGCCGAGTTCAACTGTGAACTCCAATTCACCAGGCGTGAGTCACGAAAGATCTTCTTCTTGTCGTACAGTTGCACGAACGCCTCAGTCACAGCCACCATACATTTCTCGTCCATAGTAAATACCGCACGATCCCAGTCAACACTGGCACCCAGGCCACGCAATTGGTTATAGATCAGGTCGCCATTGACTTCCTGTGGTGCGGGCGGTGTGTGGTTAGTATAGACGTGTGTAAGTGATTGTGAGTGTATGTGTGGATATGTATCCTCAGGTGTGTATGTGTGTGTATTCTTCGGTATGTACATACCCACATACGCATTGACTAGACAGGACCTATATCAAGTCCTTGGCTATAACTACGTACTCAGATAGGTATGTAGAGTGCAGTGGACACCACCGTCCGGTGTGGTAGTGTGTGCTTACACGATGACAACCAAACAAACCAGGATCACTTCCAACGTACACCACTTACTAATCCGTAGCAGCGGCAGGTCACTTGTACACGTTTCAGGTTCAGACTCAGACAACCCGAATACAAATCCCCGCGGCTCGCCCCGAGATATATGCAGGAACACTCTACGTACAGATATTCGCACAGGAAGTCCGAGGCAAGGCAAGCAGCGACAAACGTGTACAAGCTCGCAATACTGCTGCGGATGGTATACTCAATGAAAGAGACATTTGGTACAGATGTTCACTCGTGCACTGTGAAGCAGGCAGATCCAGTACAAACCTCACACTCACACACTCCATACTGCAATTACATATATCCGGGTCGATAAATTGAGAGTTTATATACATCGATATATATATCAATTATACATCTTTATGTACTCTCAAGCATACTTCGGCTATACTTTCATATCTCCAGGTCTACTACCAACATATAAGAAAATACACACGCATACGCACACACACAAAACGCATACTCACGCACATAGACATAGACACATATATATAACAATAATATATATATCTCAAAGAAAATAAATGTACGTGGTACAAGCCCTGATACACACCTTCCACTCCCAAACACGTTTGAGGAACTCTTCTCGGCCCAAGTCGTGGCGCGTCTTCTGTTCCTCTCTCCACACCTTCTTCTCAACAACAACCTGTGTAGCGATACCTTCAAGTAAATGCAAGCGAAGCAGACAATACATGAGAGAGTACATATATTGGCGAGTTCCAAAGCCAAATGATCTACATGGATACATGGATACATACATATCACATACACAGACACACATATATGTATATATATTATATATATACATACATACATACCTACGCACACACACACACATGTATATATACATACAGAGACACAGAGACACACTCACACCAAAATACTCGCACAGGCACTTACACTAGACGGTATCACCCACGCCACACACCTGCGTGATCACATCCAGGGTTCCAGAGTACCGTCTTGCCGCGCATGCGCTGCCATCGCGTCAGTGTGTCTTCAATGGCATTGGTCAGGGCGTGTCCCAGGTGCAGCGTTCCCGTGACATTGGGGGGTGGGATGGCCATCATGAACACTCCCTTAGGGTTGTCGCGTACTTCCGTCTCTCCCGGTTTCTGAGATGTGAGAAGATAAGTGTTGGGTGTGTTTGGGTGTGTTACTGACAGGCACTGTTAGGTCTAAGCCTGGGAGGGATGCTTGGTATCGAGTGGTAGTGTGTAACGGCTGTCAACCGGTCACCCGGCCGGCGCGTAGAGCGTCCCGATGACTCATGCGGTAGGTAAGAAAGAGTCCAGGAACAATCCATTCGACTATAACAGGAGCCAATTTCCTGCTAGGTATGTATCGTCACTCCTGTACCCAAACTCAAATAGACCCAGAGCGGGGCAGACTAAGCTACAAGTAACGATAGCGTGTTAGTACGTTCGATTGACTAGTGCAATGGCTACCCGCACAATCGGTGCATATGTACTTCTGACGTGCAGACACCAAGCACCGTCAGTTGTCCATGCTAGGTAGTCCGTGCTAGGTAGGCTGAATGGCAAGAGGTTCCCATCTCACCCCCAAAACGAGGCATTAGATCGCCCAATGGGCAGCGTTAGAATGCAATGTGCGACAAAACACACGAACGAAGCATGCACAAATAGTCGTTATCTGACACACAAACAGCCTGGTGTCTACTTCAGGCTTAAACGGAGTGTCCCTCATGCACCAGAAGTATCATGCAGCCGCAACCGCACGAGTGTACGTGGGAACACACAAGTCTTGGGGGGAATAAACACGGACGAAAAACACGCAATACACGTTGGGTGTATGCACACTGTGTGAGCAAATAAACTGGGGTTATTTCAGGCTTAACTCCCAGAACGACATCAGAATGCACGGGGGAATACACAGACAGTGCAAGCGAACAAACCCATTACCTCAGGCTTGAATAGACCCTCTTTCTCCCACCAAGAGTACCACGCAGTCTCGACAGCGTTCGGGTGGTATGAGGCAAAGTCAGAACTCTCCAGATCTGTGGCAATAGCAGACGAAATACACACAGACGTGCCATGGTAGTTGCCAAGTGAGCTACAAATTGTATTGAGTTCGGAAAACGGATACAAATGATATATTAATATATATAGATACATATTGAGTTGGGGAAAACGGATACAAATGATATATATATATATATATATACACATATATACGAATGTAGGAAGCATTGACTACTTGTAGCTTGCAGTAGAAACATTCCCAACCACAAAGAAAGCCTATAGTCTATACATACCACTGGGTAATAGCATCATGTAATGTAGTAGCGCGAATAGAATAGTGATCGCAAAACCACCAACATCACATGTCGATTGAAGCTTTAGCGTCGTTTTAGTACGCGCATGAGAATTTCAATATGCGAAATGGAACACAAGCGAACACAAAGCTAGACACGAGCAATACGCAAAGCAAACATCACGTGTATGTAGACACACGCATACGTAAAATCATACAACATACAGCATACCTTTATAGTCACCACTAGCAGTGGTATTGGTAAACTTGACTTCCACCTTCTCTTTCTTCTCCTTCTTTTTAGCGCCTCCTCCTGCCGCCTGTTTCTTCGCAGCCGCTTCAGCCAGAGCCTTCTTTTTAGCCTCAAACTTGGCCAATTTTTCTGCTTTGGCTTTGTTTTTGGCGGCTAGTTTTTCGGGATCGACGGGTTTCTTGGGTCCGTTATCCTGTGCATCTTTCTTGGCAGCCTTTTCGGCATCTAGTTCGATCCAAAAATCACGATCAATTGGGTAAGCGGTTGCATTGACCCCATTATTTGTATTCATTTCTCAAAATCACGATCAATTGGGTAAGCAGTTGCATTGACCCCATTATTTGTGTTCTTTTCTTCTGAGGTGACGTGAGTTGATTCATTCTGCCTAACGCATACCGACTACACTGACACACCAACATTGTTATATGAGGGCCCCTCACGTTGAGGCTGAGGTAGCTGGTTCAAATCGCCCATAAGTACCACGGGTACCGAGTGATAAGTCTATAGTCTCTCACTTAGATAGGCCTGTTGTACTGAGGTGTCTCTTTCACAACACTTGCGCACGTGAGAGCATCCCATCAGTCAACACAGTGAATATCAGCAATCGCACGTGCAACAATCGCCTGAAATGTGAACCCTGGCATTTTCCCTCGCTAAAAAAGGGCAGAACGGTGAAGGCACCTACCACCCCACATATAGTTTCCTATGGCAATGACTGCTAATGTACAGACTGAATATATATATATATATACATATATATATATATACACACATACATATATATATAGGTACATACATACATACATACACACACACACATATATATATAAATACATACATACATACATACATAAATACTCATACACACACATATATATCTATCTATGAAGTGTATCTCAATCGACAATTCCATACACGCGAAAATAATACAAACCGATTGCACGCATAGGCTGATACTCCATCGTACAGACGGCGAGCTACCATAGCATACAGAGTGATAAAGCCCACCACTTACCACAACTAGCTCCAAACTAAACCAGAAATCCCTATACTAAACATTTGCATACCCTTTTTCTCCTTCTCAGCAGCCTTTACCTCCGCATCCCAGTCCTTTCCAGAGGCGGCGTTCCATTCTTCTTTGAGAGCCTTGAGTTTGGCGAGGGGTTCTGCCAACTACAAATAGTATACGATACAATGCCACTAAGGCTGTGAGAGATCGTAGCAGGTGTGCATGCAACGGGTTAAACCATAAACGATGCATGGTCGTAGTAGGTATAGAATAAACAGATATGTGCCCCAATGGGTCTCAGATAAAGCCTTTCACGATGTCGAACGTTCACGTACGATTTGCGTACAGCTATAGCTCTAAGGTTGCGATGTGCATGGACTATACCCGTTCACTCACGAGAAATGGGAGTAGACAAGAAAGGGGAGTCATCTGGATAAGGCTATGCTGTATGTTCACATGATGGACTATCTACATCTGCGAAGAAGCATATGCAAATTGGAGCACAAGTAGTCACACGCGGATATACGCGTGCCTCTGTCGCAACGAACACACAATCACGTATACGAACATACATCAGGAAAGCAAACACAACCGAACGTTTACGTAAAAACGCATGGAAGTAAATTCAAGCTATGTGTATTTCATACACACTGTAGCTAACATTTATGCGAAAACGTATATAATCACAGATCGATTTGATGACTATATATCTGGTAAGCATCTCTCAAATGACGTATACGTGTTAAGGGACTGACGAGAAAAAGTCTCGCGTCAACACCTGTTCTGAATACGTAACAATCAGGATGCTCAAGTTGATACCCACGAGTGCGATTCCAACTTACACACACACATATATATATATACAAAATTTACTCATGGATATACAACACATAAATATATATTCGACATACAAAAAAATGAACACCTATGATGTTACATACGCATGAATTTTGAAGTATATATATGTGTTTATGTCTTTGTAAATGTAGATAAATATGTAGATAAAGATATTAGTGGATATATATATATATATATATATATATATTTTACATATACATATAATCATAAATATATATAAACAAAGAAATTCTATATGTATATATGATAACATATTTTTGAAAACACATAAACCATATATACATATAAATATATATATATATAAGCATATATATATACATACATACACGCAGAAATACGCACATACACGAACAAACACACACACACACACACTATATATATATATAAACATAGAATATTCATATACATATACATATACATATACATATACGTATACGTATACATACACATATACATATACATATACATATACATATAAATATATATACACATATACATATACATATACTTATACATATACATATAAATATATATACACATATACATATACATATACTTATACATATGCATATACATATACATATACATATACATATACATATACATATACATATACATCTACATCTACATATACATATACGTATACATACATATACGTATACATATACATATACATATACGTATGCGTATACATACACATGTACATGTACATGTACATGTACATGTACATGTGCATGTACATGTACATGTACATGTACATGTACATGTACATGTAATACATGTACATATACATATACATATACATATACATATACATATACATATACATATACATATACATATACATATACATATACATATGTATATACATATACATATGTATATATATATACATATACAAATACATATACATATACATTATGTGGTGTGACTGTAGTGGCACAAGGGATCATGCACTGTGAGCTTGCTTTCACTTTGATCCATATATTCTCCTGGTTTGCATCCGCTCAATCACCCATATTCTGCGACGTATTTAGTAGCACGCGTCATTGCCAATCATACTCGAGATTGATGGCTGATATATATATGACGTGCCAAGTTGTCGTCGGCATCGATTTTCCAGGACTCCAGGGATAAGCTCATTACGTTAAATATGGGTTACGAGATAGAAGCTGAACGTAAACGGATATTCTTTCAATTTCGTTAAAACGGTTATAACGTGTTCAGAAGAGCTTACCTAAGTTCATTTTATAGGACTGGTTCGTATGGTAAAATCGGTACACACTTAAATGTTAGACCCGAGAGGTGCATCTATGAGCATACAAAGGGCTTCGTATGGAATAAAAGCTGAACGTAAACGTATATTTATTCGATTTATAAAAGTTTTAACGAAAACGGTTTGAGGTTAGCGAGTCCAGGTCCCAGAGTAAGGCGGAAGGCCGCACATGAGGGAGCTTTAATGAGTGGATCAGTGGAACAGTCGTTAATAACTAATCGGTCAAATCATCTATGACAGGAGTTGAGGAGCATTCTGTTGTTGCAACAGTTGTACATATGGCCTACGGATTGGGTCATAACTCATACACTCATAGTCTCGTACATATATCATATGCACTGACGGTCTGACGTCTGACAGTCTCAGACTCAAAGAGTAAATATTTATGATAGATTGATAGTATATGATTGACTGTACAACTTTTTTATGTCAGTTTTCAAAAAAAGAGTTCACAAACATGGTGATATGTATTTTTTGTTAAAAAGATTACACAAGTGTTAACTGTTACAACGGTGAACGGTCGCAACGTCTGCCATAGATATTGGATAGGGCCCTCTCTAACTCTTAGTGTAGGGGTTTATACGTTCCTTGAGTAACCTTTTACAGGTCAATTCAAAACGTAGAAATGTATATATATTACATATATTAGCCTAAAAAAATTGGTCAGCGCGACCTACATAGTCCACCTACTACTATATATTTGGCCACATAATGCTGTATAGATAAAAGAACGAATGAATATACGTATGTATTTTTGGACAAAACTTGACATGCAAGACCTCTAGAATTGACCACTTCTCATTGATACTGGACCGCAATATACGTTTAACGCATAACGCTTTACGCGTAGAATTTAAACGTAGGAACGTTATAACTTTTTTTATTAAATATTTGGTTACATATGTAGGACAACACTGAACAGCTATTTGTTTAAAAAACCCCCCCCCAAAAAGTGGTAAACTATGTATGTATGTACGTAAACGCATATTTATTCGATTTATTTATACTAAATAATTTAAAACCTACGTTTAAACGGATATCCCTAGTTAACTTCGAACCTCTGGGCTCGAGCATGCACTTGTAAGTCGTAGCAAATATAAACGTTGAACGTTGAGTGTGAATATTGACTCACTTTTTACATATAATTGTGTATGTAGCGACACTCTCTCTAGAGTTGAGTCTCACACTAAATACTAAATAGACTCTCGACTCTCGAGTCACTCTACTCTACTCTAGAGAGTACTATTCAGTAGATGTATGTAGTCTACCTACGCATACTTGTGAGAGTTGAGAATTGACTCTCGAGAGCCATTCTGTATTTTTTTTAATCGGCCATTACTCATTACTCATTACTCGGGTCAAACTTGAAACTTCAAAAGTTCAAAAACGGAAGACCTGCTGGTCAATGGTCAGTTGGTCATCTCGCACCATAAATACAATATACATTCTACATAGTATACATAGGCACTGGGACCTGGAGTCCTGGACTGCTGGTGCAGTGGTGGACCCTGGACTGGTGGCAGACTGGCAGGTGGAGTGGTGGTGGCTACTCTGAAGGCCAATAGATTATTGATAAACGATGCATTTATTTACTCCTGGATCTCGGCATCTCCGTCCCTCACATTTAATTTAATTTATCTGTTTTTGCAAAACAAACAAAATAAAACAAACAGGCAAGGTATTTATGTACTCACTATGCATTTATTTGCTATTTATTTATTACACGACAACAATATGTAGAACAATCAGGACGTACGAGTGCCGACTGCCGAGCGCCGAGTGCCGACTGCCGACTGCCGATCGCCGACTGCCGATCGCCGACTGCCGATCGCCGACTGCCGAGTGGTACGGTACCAGTTCGTTCGAAATATATACTGTCGACATTTTTGGACCCGCACTGCATAACAACAAATTTCGTACTCGAATCATTCAACTTTTTAATCGATGCATTGATTGACTGACCAGCTGTGCTTGTACCGGACATCTCTTTCAAGCCACATCTGGAGTGTTCATACGATTACTGTTTCGGTGGTATACGTCAGGTGTAAGATGAAAAACATATCTTCCAAACGCGGAAGGTCCCATGTTACCGTCTTCAACTCAACATATATCCGCTTACCCAAAATGCGAAAATGTGCATCTAAGACTAAGAAGTTCTCTGAAGTAGAAATACTCGACATCACATCGGATGTGATTGAATCAAAAAGTCAATCCATTAAACCTCTCCAACGTGGCTTATACCACTCGCAAGAACAACGCCAGTCCAAGGACAGTTAGCATCCTTTCAAGACCACCAAGTACATAATCTACCAAGTAAGTACTGTTTAAGGCCGAGTTCAAACCGAGATACTTGCTCTCTCGACCACGCCACGATTTTATGATCATCCATCGTCATCCGGACGGGTCCCTGCACAGATCGTACAATTGGGATTCTGTAAACCATGACCATATCGAGATAAACAACGCTACGCAATGAAATAAATGTATATACCATTGATTCTGAATTGGATTTCATCACTGCATGGACTGTACTTTTATAACCCCATCCCCACAATTAATATGACTGTGTAGTTCTACGTGATTGTGTTCACCGTTGTAGGATATATCAAATGTTTAAGCAGTACAAATACACCATCGAATTTTAGCAAGTTTGAAGGATATAGGCTATTGTTTGACATCACAGCATTTCTCCCAGTGTTTGCCTAGCGATGAGCAGCTAGATAGTGTACATCGTCATTATATCGAAACATTCACGGCACGCATCTGTGCCAGAGCTAACATCATGTCTCACAAGGCAAATGAAATTCAAAAAAGTGCAGGTCTACAATATATTTTGCTTTTGAAAATATATATATTAAAAAAATAAATATATATTATATAAAATATGAAAAATATATATCTGTACAGACTACAGTATCAAACTTTAAACTTTTATCCTATTTCTTACATACTCGACTATCATACACTATAAGATGGCACCCTCTAAACGTGGAGCAGAATCGACAGCGGCAACTAGCAAGTCGAATAAAATGACAAAGGCGGGTGTGGAGGAGCCAACGGTCACAGTAGTGCAGAAAAAAGGTGGTTGAAATATTACGGTGTGTTACTGCCTGATTGTTTATCGTGTACAGGATCATCTAAACCCTTGTGTGTGTGTTTTTAATTTAGTGGTGGCAGGCATACACCTAAGTCTGTTAGTATCATTGTTTATTTACGGAGTATAGTGTTCTATGTATAAGTATACGTGCATGTATGTATATACATAACTGTTTAGATATCTGTGTTTGTAGAATTAATTGGCATATGTATCATGCGGGTTCATCCATGTACTCAAGTTAACTTTGTTCAGTCCGCTTCAAATGACATACATGCACACAGATACTAGGTGCTGATGATCGGATGGATACATTCTCGCCTTGAACCCAAACACTTTCATCATAATGTGAGCCTAGTGGTATAGATGCAGATATCCCTATATATATATATATATACATATACATTTACATATACACACACACACACAATCATATATATATATATATATATATATATATATATATATATATATATAAACAACATAACTACACACACACACACACACACACACACACACACACACTACACACACTATATATATATATATAGTACACACACACACACACACACACACACACACACACACACACACAACACACACACACGGACACCACACAACCNCG